GACGTCGGACAGGGCAAGATATGACAAAATAATAATTTATAAATTATCAAAGATTCATGAGGAGGGAGGGGCGAGGGAGGGGGAAAAATGAGGAGCTGATGCCAGGGGCTTAGTGGAGAGCAAATGCTTTGAGAATGATGAGGGTAATGAATGTGCAAATGTGCTTTACACAACTGATATATGTATTGTGATAAGAGTTGTATGAGCCCCTAATAAAATTATTTAAAAAAAAGAAAAACCAAACAATCCATTCTCCTCTAGTCTGAAGAAGAATGACCTTTTGTTATCTGAAAAACGCCCGTTGTGATGACCAACACATTCTGGGCTCTGTGGGTTGCACACTGGAGGTACAGACAGGCCTAGGCCTGGAATCTGGCCTGCCCTCAAGGAGCTCTAGGCCAGTCAACAGAAGAGCAGCCAAGGAACAAAGAGTCAAGGGAGGGGACAACTTTCTCTGCTGTTGAGGTCTTAGAGCAGACGTCCTCAAACTGCGGACCGCCGAGGACATTTATCCGACCCGCTGGGTGTTTTTGCCCCATTTGTTTTTTTACTTCAAAATAAGATATGTGCAGTGTGCGTAGGAATTTGGTTCACAGTTTTTTTTTAAACTATAGTCTGGCCCTCCAATGGGTCTGAGGGACAGTAAACTGGCCCCCTGTTTAAAAAGTTTGAGGACCCCTGTGTTAGAGGAAAGGGCAAGGCTTCAAGCAGTGGAAGGGCAAACAGAATATTCAAGGAAATGCCAGGAGGATGGGATGTGCAGAATTGCATGCCAGCAGATAACACTGAAGAGGTAAGTCAGGAGCAGGTTGCAGAGAGCCTCTGTGGCCACAGGAAGAGTTAGGGTTCTAACTATGGGCCAGCAGAGTTGCTGAAGCACAAATCACACATGGAAAGTCTGCAGAAGGACTGCTCCAGTGGCAGTGTGTCATCCAGCAGGGGATGGAGACAGTCTGGTTGCAATGCACAAACCAGTTAACGAGTCTGCTGACATAGTGCAGGTAGAAGGTGAGGAAGATCTCACCTACTAGCACATTCAACTTCAGTCCTCACGATTTATGCTTCTTAATCCATCCTTTCAGGTCTTCAGTATTTACTGCGCACTTAACACTGGGAAGGATCTGTGGTGGGGGAGTGGGGGTGGTGGCAGGGGGGTGGGCATGAACCATTACGAAACTGAGTTGTTTTTCATAGGTATGACCAATGTGTGCGAAATTACAGAACAAACCAAAACACTGTTCAGCCATGCACAGAGTAGTGAGGTGCAGCAAGACTGCCAAGAACAAGGATGGGTTCCGATAGCCTATAGTAGTCTGGAATGCATTCACCCAGGTGGTGAGACAAGGGCCAGATGGTGATAGGTGGACATTTGCAGAGGTGAAGGAAAGGCTAGTAGTCCCTCCAATGACGGGCACAGGTGGAGAATAGGAGGTAAGTCTACATGGAGCTGAAGTGGGCAATCTATCATGAATCAGATGGTGGAATGGCAGGACCATCAAATCTTGATGCGCTTGGTGCTAAGTGACCACACAGGCTCATGAAGAGGGGCCAACACAATGAAGGCAGTACCTGAGAAAGGTTGATTCTGGGTAATTGGTAGAGTTGGACAAACCTGAGTTCAAATTGATTCATGTACTTATTATTATGTAATCTTCTGAACATCACTCATTCAACTAATAATTATTAAGCACTTACTATATGCCAGGGTCCCCATACATATTAACCCAAACTGTACAATCTAAGAAGGATGCACTAGTATTACTTCTATTATACAGACAAGGACACTGAGACACAGATGGTTATATAACCAGATCAAGGTCATCCAATTCTTCAGAGGAAAAGGCAGAGAATTCAAACCCAGGCAAAGTCTGGTCCCCCAATTCTACGTTCTTAACACCAATACTCTCTGTAAATGGAGATACGTGTCTACAGTCATTTTTGTCATGGTATCACTATTGTGACACTGTCCTTTTCCTTCGTCAACATCAAATCACCAAGTTCTCAGTATTCTTCCTAAGAAAGTTCTCTCTCAGCCCTCTTTTCTACTGATAAGATTCAGCTAGGTCCTTATTTCTCTTTCCAACTAGCTAGCCTGATAACT